AGACTCAGAGGGGATATGTTGGGGACATACAGGTATGTGAGGGGATGTCACATGGAGATGGGTAGAGACCTGTTCTCCCCTGCAGAGGAAGGCAGGACATGCTCCAATGGAGCAAAGCTCAGGGAGCCAAGGTTCCATTTGGATGCCAGGAAGCACTTCCTGACAGGACCCCGAGGGTGTGGAATGGGCTTCCACAAGAAGTCGTTGAGGCCCCATCGGTGCGGGTGTTCAAGGATAGGCTGGACGTCCACATGGTGGACATGTCATGAGCGGAGCCGGCTGGTGCCGGAGGTCAGACTAGATGGAATGGGAGGCCCCTTCTGACTCGCTCTGTTTTCTATGTTTCTATGAAATTCAAAAATTTCCCTTACACCATGACATTCGCTATATAATTCTGTTATATAGAATAATTACATAGCATACTTCTACTGTGCAAGTTTTTTTATGGGGGGGGGCAGACCAAAGCTGTTACATGGCTCTAATGACGTCTTATTAAACTACAAAATATTTACCCACAAACCTAGTAATATTTACATAATATTGGCTATATCTACCAATGGAGGCAGTCACATTGAATTAAGTGCTCATGGGTACCAGTTTTGCATAGTAGCTTGTCATGACATAACCCAAACAGCACAGGTTATTTGAGAGTCTGATAACCCTTGACCCTAAAACAAGCTATGGAACCTGCAGGAACCTGATGTCATAGACCCCACAAATACATTAAGCTACAGTCTTCATGTACAGTCAATTCTATATGTAATGTAGAAAATGTCAGGAAATGAGCATTATGGATATTTTTATCAGCCCAGTCTGGGGTAGGGGGAAGGAATCACATGTTCCCTTTCCATTTCCTAGCACTTCCAGTACAAGATAACCTGCTGCTTGCAATGCAAAGGTATTCTTTGAACCATTGCTTATTACATACTATACTGAACACCCATCACATCTGACAATCTCAGGAAGAGTCAAAATGTTTAGTTATTTCCAGAGGTGCACCACTCTAACCATCTTGTCCCACTTCACATCCCTTTACTGAGGGCCAAATTAGCAATTGTACAAAAGGCTTCTTTAATGTCAAGTCAGGATGTGGAAATATGGATTGGGACTCTGGCAAGTGGGATTAAAAGGGCATTAACACTTTGTCCTGGATGTTTTCCCCATTTAAAACAGGGGCCCTGCCCCTGAAATATGCATGGTGATGGGAAAGCTCCCATGGTGGGTTCCCCCAACCCCAAGAATGAAGTAGGCACAGGAACCTGTTCTTCTTCATGCTCTGCAGAAGAAGGCAAAGCTTAAAGACTCCCTGTATACCACAGCAGGGTCCTGAATGTTTAAATTACTTTTTGAAATTACTTTTCTTGCAATTGCTAATTGTGTGAATGCTCCCATATCTAGTTTGCCCCTGAGGTCATTGCCTTAGATAAAGTAAGAAGCAACATTAGATTTGTTTTTCCAATTCTGGCCAAACTCCCATTTCCCCAAAATCAAAATATCATACCTAATCCCTGAGAAGATAGTTTCTGTAATTTCCCCAAATCAAACTGAACAGAAATTGTGCCAGGACAGAAAAGCACACTAGTAGTTATAAAAAGATAATCAAACTCTGACTAAAATGTATCTTTAAATAGAGCATGAACAAAAGCATCAGCTACAATCCTATGCACACATTTTACCCATAAACCCAACTGACAACAGCATAACTTACTTCCAGTTAAATATCTTAGCTGTTAACATCTTAGAAAAACATTTCTATTCTACCCGTCATACCGCAACTGCTCATTTTCTGTACTAACAAACTAATTTTAAGCCTGAGTCGTAACTCCTTGGTCTGTCATATTCATATGAAGCTTCTGCATACAGAATCAGAGTTTTTAGCCTACAGAAACAATTGGATGCATTTGTGCATACATTTATCATGATATATTAATGTTTGCATGCAATCCCTTATAGTAGAAAACTTTTTGCATACCAGTCTCACTTGTATATTCCTTTTTCGGCATACCTTTCATCATCATAAGAAGTTGTATATGCATACTTTATTAGAAAATTGCACTGCAAAATTCAGAGGTGTAAATATCCCCAAATGTTAGTTCACGTGTTTTCTCTAGAAGTGCAAATTAGTCTCTTTAATTGTGAACAAAATGCATTCCTCTCTACCCCAAGCACATTCCTCCTTACCAATAAATATAACTGCCTCATATCCAATTGTATGATAACATTTAGCAGACCATTGTGTACTGACTGACCTACAATGGCTCTTCAAACACTGGAAATGTAATCTGGATCCCTCTCTGTGCAAAGAAAGTGCTCCACCACTGAACCAGGTCCCTTTTCCAAACTAAAGGTAGGGTAGGCAACTTGTGGGCTTCCAGGAGTTTTTGCTTACAGTTCCCATCACCAATGGCTACGCTCAATAGGGCTGGAGAAGTTCTAGCCCAAAAGATCTGCAGAGTCACAGGTTGTCCATCTCTGATCTAGACCCAAATATTCAACCTAAGATCAGGTGCTATTAACCTCACAGCAGATCATAGGGACATTTTCCTAGATGAAATGAAAGAAATGGATCATGACAGCAAAACAGATACAATGCATGATGGGTAACAAAGCAAATGTTTGGAGAGAAGATAGAATGCCATGTCAGCAGTGGTCAATTGACCTTAGAACTGGGAAAACCAACTTGGGATACAAGCTCACTAAGGCAAGAAACTCTTCAAGAAAAACTCTGCCCTGTTAAGTTTCCCAAGGATTCTGGGAAAGTAAGCTTATTTGGATAGGCTAGACGTGCACATGGTAGGCATGTCATAAGTGGAGCCAGTTAGAGCCGGAGCTCAGAAGAGATGGCCTGGGAGGTCCCTTCTGACTCACTGTTTCAGTGTTTCTATGTTTTGCTATGCAGTTTGACCAGTGATCTGAACACTTCAATTAAAAAAAAACAACAACTGTGCTTACTTCATATGACCTGGCTCAATTCAAGATAATAACTTGGCTTTTAAAGCCCTAAATGGACTGGGACCACATTGTGTGCGCGTGTCCAATTAAAAGTTCTACTTAGAGGACCAATAGCAGAGCCTTTACTCTATGGTCCATCAGCAAGCACCATTAAGATGGTGGATGAAAGGGACAGGATTTTCTTTGTAATAGCCCATGATCACTTGAAGCTCCCCTCAATGCACACACACTTTTATTTTACTAGAGAGGCCACTGTACAAAGACCTCAACAACTGGTGGTAGACACTAACATTTACATCCCTGCATATTATTCCATGATTCTATTTATGTTAATGAGAAATAGTATACATCTCCTACAGGATGCATGATCAGGCCTCCCCAACTAATTGTTCAGTTTGTATTTTCCCTCCCTGGAAGATGCCAGCTATCATAGAAATATGAAACTTTGCTTTTACCTTATCAGCTGGTAACCAAGGAGTCAAGGAAAAACTGCCCAGGAGAATACCTTCTCCTCCCTATAAACTGGTTTTGTGAGTTACTTTTAGGAATACCAGAAGGTTTAGTGGGCTAGTCTGTTGCATTTCATTTTTAAAATCAACTATTGCCAGACTCTTTCTGCTTGGTGCATTAATAAATATATTAAACATTAAATCACAATATTTGATTCTCTTGCCTAGCTTGAAAGTTGACCTACCCATACTCCAGGCTGTTTGGTTAACATGGAAACCATTTTTAAAGGATGCTCTGGAAAGAGAACCTATTCTCCTCCATATATAAACTCTATTCTCAGGTAATCTATGCTTTCTTAATCTCTAAATTAGATCAATGCAATGCTCTTTATGTAGGATTGTCTTTGAGGACTTCACAACTAGCAGTCAATTCAAAATACAAGAGCCAGATAAATAACCAGGACCAGAAGGTGCAACCTTGATACAAGGTGCTGTGTTTAACCTTCACAGCCTTACATGGGATACAATACTTAATGCCTTCCTAAACCTGAATCTGCCTGTACATTGGTCAAGATCTGGAGTCTCCCTTCAAGTGCCACTTCCAAGAGAAGTCTGGAGGGAAGCAACAAAGGGGCCTGTTCAGTGGTAGCTGCACAACTGTTGAATGAACTCCTACAATAGCCTGCTCAATACCATCTTTGTTATGCTTTCAGAGTGAGGTTAATATAGTCCTCTATGCTGAAGCATTTAAAGACATTTTAAGGGTTACCTAATTGCTTGATTGGTCACCCATGTCTTTGTGATTTCTTTTAAAAACAGGTCAATTTGTATTAAATACTGTTTTAACTCTTAATCTTTTAAACAAAAGTATCCTGCTTTAAAATGTTGTAATATGGAGCATTGTATTATTATTTTTATTGCATTATGGTCACGTTCAGAACAACTGTCCAAAGAGCTTTAGCTACAGGGTGGTAGAGACGTTGAATAAAACAACATAAAATAAATTGATATGGGAGTGGTGGCGGAGGAACCTCCTATTTTGGAGGAAAGAAGCAAAGAGTTATTTGCTTCTTGATACCTTTGGAATTCCCTCCCCAAGCAGATAAATATGGTCACTGTTGGCTTTTTTAAAAAAAAACTCCTGAAGACACAGACTACTCAGTCCTTAACATTCACTGACTGTAGCTGTTTACATTATTAAAAAATAAGCAAAGCTTTAACAGTATCCTCATTTTTGTTGAACTTCATTTAACAACATGCACATTTTTAAGAATGTGCTCACATACCTTTTAACCAGGTTCAGCTATTCTGAAAATGTGAACTCATGACTTAAGCGAGTGACAAGCATTGCAAATACAAAGTTAATACATTTGTTATTGAAGATTTTCTTTATGTTTTCAACCTAACCTACCTCACATGGTTGTTCATACCTGTTTGGCATACAGTTTCTTAAATCTGAGTAGTAAATTATTGGTAGTAATAAAGAACTTTTTGGTGCCATACACTAACTTCTATTAAGGTAGTAGCAAAATTATAGCTTTAATACACTTCATTTTAAATACATTTTATGCTTGTTGATGCATTAAATGTTGGAAATACCTTGTCGATTCACTTCATTTTGAAGTAATTCCTCCATTGCTTCTTCCTCAGCAATATCCAATGGAGTGTCTCCTTCACTATTAACTGCTCCTACATGTGCTCCTTGACTAATTAAATATCTGTTAAGAGAAGAAAAATAGAATTAATATTGCAAACTGCAACTATCTTTTCAATGAAGAAATAATATTGTACACTCCTCAGAGAGCTGCAACTATGAGGCAGTAAAGAAGTAATAATAGTAGTAGTAGTAGAAGTAGCAGCAGCAGCAGCAACATAAACTAAAGGTATGTTCACATTCTAAAACTAAAGTCCAGGAATAAAAATCTTTCTTAATTTACTATCAAGGTTTTTTAAAGAGTCCAATAAGATAAATATTATTTTTTGAATCTCTTCAGCACAGCACATTAAATGTGACACTAGTAAACACTTAATCTCGATCTAACTCACCTCACATGGTTGTTGTGAGGATAAAATGGATGCAAGGTATTTTATGTTAGCTTTCAATTTCTTCTCATAGGGCTTTGTTTTCAATCTCCTGATCATCTGTGTTGCTATTCTCTGAACCTTTTCCAGTTTGCCAGCATCTGTCTTAAACTGTAGTCCCAAGAACTGGATGCAGTGCTCCAATAGTCTTTTAATACAACCAAAATATCATTTGCTATTTTTGTATCCTCATCACATCACTGAATAATTCTCAATTTGTTCTCTGCAACAATTCTGAGATCCGTATTGCATGTAGCAATGAATCAGGTATCCCAAGTAACAATGCTTTTGGTGTCTTCTTCCTAGGTGCAGAACTTGGCATCTGTCCCTGTTATATTTCATTCTGTTATTCCACCCCCACACTCCAATCTCTGAAGATTGGGGCTGCAATGATTTCCTTCCCCAAGTTTCTACAACTGCCTGAAAGCACTTCCTTAGTTCCACTGCTTCCCCTGATAGAGAGTGTATTCCAGATCTTATGTTCCCATTAACTTTTCCCAGGGAGTGTTTCCTTTACTTCATTTAGCCTTGCCTCAGGATACTCCTCTTCTACCTTCTACTTCAGTTTGATGTAGCTCTTCCAGCTCCTGTATTTCATTTTGCTGATATTATTAACAGGAACACTTATTCTTTTGAGTATGGAGAGAAGCCATGCAAATATGGCATCCTTGGGTGTAAAGCATAACACAACAGAAGCATAGTTAAATTAATCCATAATGGATTGTTGCATTAGACAAAGTACATTAATGGAATAAAAACTGTCCAAAAAACTCAAGGTATTTGCTCATTATATCTAAGAGCCATTGAATTGTATGTGCATTCATGTGTGTATGCTATGCATTTTTATCACAGGTTTATAGTAAGTTTGTTTGAAAAATAAGATGTAAATCTAAAAAATAAAGACAGGTAATCCGGCGATTCTAAGATATGAATAAGCTCTTTATTGCAAATGTGTAAATTATGTGTCTATGTCTTTCTAGAACTTTGCTACAAAATATACAATATAAAAGAAACAAAGTCACATACATCCTGGACCAAAATGTGTTTTCATGACAAGATATTCACAGACCCTTCAAACTAAGGAATTCAACACACACACACACTTCACTTGTGAAAAGAGAGAGAGAGCTTTTATTAACTGAAGACATGAAGGATAAAGTAGACACAGTAAACATGCACATTTTTCACAGACTACAGATTTTCCAAATATTCTATCTCTGGGAAAACAGATTGCCCTTTTAAACTTATTACTTCCCCATTATTCTAACTAACTCCTGTAAGGCAGTCTTAAGTTATGTAATACTGAGAGCATATTCTCTCCTAAGAGCCAGTTCCTTCCTTGTTAAGCCTTATGTGCTTCAATCAACTACTAAGACTGGATATGGGTTTTCTCACAATGATGTTTGCCTGATTTCCCATTAAATGGCTTTCTTTTCCAGCTTGGCCCCCACACATATAAAAAACAGTGCCACCCTCACTTCAGACCTAAGTGGCTAATAGTGTATCACCAATATAACTTTACTAGGCAACCACCATATTTGTGCAATTCAAGTGGTTAGAAGAGACAATGAAGCAACACAGCAGAAAGAGCTAAAAAACCACAACACAGTGAAAAATCAATACGGGTAGAGCTCTCTCAGCGTTTCAATAGAAGCTGGCTACTAACACACATTTGATTTCTTGGAATCTAATCTCGGAAACAGCATTTATATACTGAATGAAACTGCTATGATCTAAAAATCATTCAAATGTGAATACCAGGAAAAGTGCAAGAACAGTTACAGTGAGAATGTGCGTTACACTGAGCTATTAAGAAATCATCACCCAGAATTGCATAGTCACAATGGTTGTGTGGAACATTTAATGCAGCTGCTGAATAAAATGCACAGTCAGCACATATTTCACAGCTTTCCTAAGAACACAAACACATTCAAAAATAAGTATAAAGAAAAAAATATTTGAAAGATGTTTAAGTAAGATCTGATACTGTGCGGTTACACTGTGGTTCAAGATGGAAGATTTTCTGTATATCCACAAAGGGACTCCCAAACCACAATTCCATCCCCATGCATTTAATGTCCCTCATCTCCTAGTGCCTTTCAGAAACTGAAGGCAAGCAGAGTAAACTATGAATGTGCTACAAAAGTACCTTGAGTAATTATAATGTAAAAGTACAAAGTGGCAACAATTGCAAAATTGTTTCTCACAAGCTTTGCTCATTTTATACAGTTATTGGGTTACTCTGATTTATCCTATACAAAATTGTATGGTCATTTTAGGATTGTTGTGAGCCGCCCCGAGGCATCGGTGAATGGGGCGGCATAAAAATGTTTTAATAAATAAATAAATAAATAAATAAATAAAATAAGAGCAAGCTTTCATTTCAGCTCTGTGATTTAACATTTCAGTTGTTTCAGTAGAAAATATGTTACTTATTTCAACAGAAAAGAGTCTCCACTGCTATTTTTGGTTGTTCTATCTTATTGTTGCTTTAGTTTTGTTATTTCACTATCAAGCCAATGAATTAGTATGGAAAGGTATAATGTAAATTAAATTATATATAACATTATGTCAAACTATGCATTTATACTTTCATCTTGCAAATACTTCATATATTCCAGAGAAGCAATTCCTAAAAGTGACAGGGGTAAGAATTCATCTATAAATGGGATACTATTATAAATCACTGTGCCATAGTTAATGTCTGCACGTCCAGTTGGTTGTAGCCAATCTCCAATATTTGTAGTAACCTGAAACCCTGATTTACAGCTCAAATCTGAAAAGTTGGTTGGTGTCTGGATTCTGCAGCAGCAACCAGACACAGAGCTTGAACTACAGAGGATGACAAGATTTCTAAAAAGAGAAGTGATATAATAACATTCAGTGATTTCCCTTGGAGCCAAAAATGTATAGCAATTGGGCCCTACTGGTAAATCTATGTATGAAATGCAGCAGAATAGTGAACAATTTTGATTTCAAGTCTATGGTGGGACTACATTTAGAGTTTGTGTACAGTTCTGGTTATTGCATCTAAAACATAGCAAAGGGGTAGGAAAAACTGCAGATAAGGGCAAACAAAAAAGATCAAGAAGCTGGCACAACTCCTCTATAAGCAAAGGTTGTACATCTGGGAAATTTTAATTTGAAAAGTTGATAAAGGGAGATTTGATGCTGCATACAAAAATATGCATGGCATACAGAAAGTAGTTAGGAGATATTTTTATTCCTTTCTCCTAATTCTAGAATTGAACATCATCCAATGACACTGTTGGGAGAATCAGGACAGAATAAAAGGAAATGTTTCTTCACACATACAAACTATGGAATTTACTAAAGGAATATGTATATTCCATACACTAATATTTGCTCCAGAAAAAAGAAGGGAAACACACTCATTGTGTCATGAATATTATATGCACTGGGATGAGTGATCAATACCATCAAACATATGAAATCAGGATTTAAGATATCAACTACTGGAACACAGCTGTATACAAATATGGAAAAAATGCTAGGCTTTCAAATAAACATTAACTCACAAATGTTAATAGCATATAGAAGAAAAAGGAAAAAAAAAAAGGACAGCTGTAGAATGACATGGTAAGAGAGCAGTATTTCCTTGCTGGCTACCAAGGAGGGAGGATTCCCTCCTCTTGCAGCCCACTTACTTTCTAAGCTGGGAAAAGAAGAGGGACAGAATGCTCCAGTCCTCTTCTGCCAGCCCACTAACTTGCATGGAAGTTTATGCATGTAGTTCATAATTATCTGTGGCTACCAAACTAGTACTTAAATGCAAAGGTGAACAACACTTGTTTTGTGACAGGTATCAAAACTTTAGCTTAGAAGTAGAACTGGTTTAATGTAAAGCTCTCCACAGCAAACTAGAGTCAGTAAAACTGATGAACAACAAGTGCAACACCTTGACCTAATAGAGTGGTGGCAAACCTACGGCACGTGTGCCACAACGGGCACGCAAAGCCCTCTCTGTTGGCATGCGAGCCAAGTCGCCCCAGGAGCTGAGCATCGGATAACAGCATGCACAGGGGCGATGCCAAGGAGATATATTATATATATATATGCTTGGACTGGCTATGAGTTGTTTTTTCTAAACTAAAACCTCAGTTTCCAGGTTTTATTGCAGTGTTGGCACTTTGCGATAAATCAGTGGGTTTTGGGTTGTAGTTTGGGCACTTGGTCTCTAAAAGGTTCACCATCACTGGGTTAGGATTAGAAAGACGAGGTGCCTTGTTATTATTTTGAGGGTTGGAATGTGTTTAGAAGGGGCAGAAATGATTAGGTCTGCAGAAAAAGCTACTCAAGGAAGGCTTTTTCAAAATTGCATTATTTTCAATGGAACTTTAGCCCTATATTAGGGTTAGGGGTGTACACCAGGGTAGGGTTAGGGTTAGAAAAATGAGGTGTCCTGGCATGATTTCGTTGGTTGGAATATGTTTAGAATGGGCAGAAATGTTGGGCCTTGCACATGGCAAAGGGCCAGAGGCTAGGCCCACTAGCAGCACTGTGGGAGGTTGCTCCCCATGCAGGAAGAACAGTACTCTCATCAGGAAGATCATCAAACATGGGCGGTTCAGAGTACAGGGTGGTGGGTCCCAGACCTCTCCTTCAGAAAAGGACT